TTTTTTTTTTTTTTTTTTTTTTTTTTGTCGATATACAATGAGGTTGATTATTGTGGCCCATTACCAAAACCCCGCTCCCCCCTCCCACCCAACAATGTCCTTTCTGTTTGTGTGTGCGTGTGAATTTATTTATTTTTAGCTCCCACCAATAAGTGAGAACATGTGGTATTTCTCTTTCTGTGCCTGACTTGTTTCACTTAATATAATTCTCTCAAGGTCCATCCATGTTGTTGCAAATGGCAGTATTTCATCATAGAGTCCATTTCAATACCCCAGAGTCCACTGGCTCAGGTGTCCCATCTCTTTTGGGTAGGGGTTGGAGAGCAGTGGTGTTTGGGAAGGAAGATGGGCTATAATCTGTTTCTAATTGGTACATCCCCCTTGTTCCCTGTGCCTTACCTTTTCCTCACCTTGTTCCCAGACACCAGTTCCAGCCCCTGGAAGCAGTCCCAGCATCCTCCCACCTCATCTGAGGCTCCACTGGCCTGGTTCCTCGTATTGTCTAATGATAACCAGCTCCGGCCCAGGGTAGCTGCTAGGAGGTGGAGCTGGCGGCTAGATGCTGGTGCCTTCGAGGACTTTCTCTCCCTAGTGTGTCTGTGAAGCCTCAGCTCTTCCCACCCTCCCAGCCCGCTGTAGCACATTTCCAGAGTGGGAGCTCTCATATGGCCAGTGTTCATTTCCTTTTCTCTGATGGTTCCCAAAGGACCCATTTCCTGAAGTGCTTTGTATGTCACCCACGTTGAGCTCCTTTGTCAGCACTCTAGAAAGCTGCTCCTTTGGCAACTCAGATTCAGTTAACTTCCTGACTGGTGGCTGTGAGATACAAGTCTTGGCCTAGAGTCCAGCTGACCATTGGGACCGGGCAAGGGCCCAGGGTGCAGAGTGCTGGCATGGGCAGCGGAAAACCTGAGGTCTGGCTCTGTGCCTGGATGGCTACTGTCAGGCTGTGGGTTCTCCATCAGCAGCATGCCTAGACTTGCCCAGGTGACTCTGCACCCTCTGGTATTGGGAGGCACATGACATCATGGTTACAAGCACAGCTTTGGGGCCAGAAAAACCTAGGTTTGAATTCCAGCTCCTACCTGTGTAACTAGATCTATACTTAGCCCCTCTGAGCTTCAGTGTCCTCAGCTGGTGGTGGTGGGAGGATGAAATTAAATGAGATGGAGCATGTATAGCACCAAGCATAGTGCAAGCCGAGTAAGCCCGCAGCCACCGGTGGTGGAAGAAAAGCCCTGTCTCCCCTCTTCTCTACAATACCTGCCACATGTGCACTCCCTTAGACCAAGACCCTGGCCGTTACCCTCTGATTACCACTGAATGTCAATCACAGACGAAAATGGGGAAGGAGCCCTTTTTGCTGGATATCCATTCATTGTGGAATTGTGTGGAAAATGACTGGAGTGCAGAATTATGACAGAAGCCGTAAGCATCATGGGGCCAAGGCATTGGATACAGGGCTTGCCCTGCCCTGCCCGGCCGTGACTCTCAGCCTTCCTGTGGCAAACAGGCTTTGGTGTCAGATCTGTTTTTGAATTTTGGCTCTGCTACTTCCTGGCTGTATAGTGTCAGGCAGGCAGTTTACTGTTTCTTCATCTGTAAAATTTATAAAATGATACCTAAGAGGTAGTAAGTATAAAGTGCAGACTCTTTTCACTCCTAGACTCCTGCCTGCATGGGAATCTCCCCACAAGGGGCAATTATTTTTTAATTTGATTACATTTTTTAAATTACAGAAATAAAACATGTTTGTTGTTATATAAACAACAAGGAACAATCTAAAAAGTGGGGCAAGCCCTGTTCCCAGAAGTTCCCACTGTCGCGAGGCCCCTTCCAGGTCTATGTTCACACATTTGCAAGCACATAAAAACATTTTTACAAAAACAGTATCACACCTTACCCATTGTTCTACAGTGTGGTTTTCTCAGTGTCCTGCGTCAATGTAACTATACCTCTTTTCCCCCACCAACACTTATAGTATTCCCTTGTGTGAATGAACCATAATTTATCAGTCCAGAGGTCATGGTACTAACTGTTCTCCCTTCTCCTGTTTCTCTAGGGGTCCCACCAGGATGAAGCCGTTTAAATATAACCATCCTCAGGGATTCTTCAGCCATCGCTGACCTGCTCAGCTCATCTTTTCCCCCAAGTACTGGGCTTCTGCTTGCTGCTCTGGCCCACATGTGGCTCTTGATATTCCCCAGATGTATTATCCTATTAAAGTGTCATCTGAGTCTTGTAGCACCATGGTCACAGGTTTGGATCCCTGTACTGGCCAGCCACAAAAAAAATAAAAATAAAAAAGTGTCATCTGACCAGTGATCTTTGTGGCTCCTTGGGGGTGGATGGCTTTGTAGTCTGGAAGGACAGGTGGGAGCCATGGCACAGTGTGAAAGAGCATTTGTAAATAGGCTCATCTAGGTGGCCAAGAAAAGCAGAGTACAAAAAGATTGCCATTCTGCAGAGAGATGCTGCCCTCTTGTCCATATACCCTTTATTTGTTTCTGTTCTGGGGAATCCTCATTATCTTGGTATTTAATATCCTAGATTCCTGCCATTAGGAGGTTGCAAGAAAAGTCAGTCAGCAGAGCACAAAAAGCACAAGCTCCTCTGTCCCCTCCCCTCACTCTTTCCACTAGTCCTTTCACTGTCCCTGATGGCCACTTCTCCCTGATCATTGGCTGTTATGAACATCTGACAGTGTTCAGAAGACAGACAAATACATCCCAGAGAGGAATTCTAAATCTTGCAGGATTTCATGAAGTCGATGAAAGTGATGTGGGGGAATCACATGCAGAGCTACTGGCCAGTAAGACAATGGCAAGTGAGACGAGCTGACATTTGAGGTGATTTTTCATGGTAATGACAAATACATCCCAGAGAGGAATTCTAAATCTTGCAGGATTTCATGAAGTCGATGAAAGTGATGTGGGGGAATCACATGCAGAGCTCCTGGCCAGTAAGACAATGGCAAGTGAGACGAGCTGACATTTGAGGTGATTTTTCATGGTAATAACATGATAGGTGCCTCAAAAAATAATGGTTTGACTCTCAAAAGATTAAGAAAAGTCCTGGAAAAAGAGGTAACACCCTTTAAAAATGTTTGCAAAATTACCTCCTTTGTAATCCTGCAAAAATCAAAGTGAAGGTTGGCATAGAGTGTTCTTGGACAGTTTTGTCTGAAAAAATAACCTGCCCCCCAAAAATCAGTACTCAGTTCATTCTTTATTCATTTTAAGAAATAAGATACAGGACTGGCCGGTTACTCAAATGGTTAGAGTACAGCCTTGTAACACCAAGGTCAAGCGTTTGGATCCCTGTACTGGCCAGCTGCCAAAAAAAAAAGACATAAAGATGTAAAAATATTTAAGAATTATTACATAGTTGCAAGTATAAAGTTTGCTTACTTCAAGGTTATTTTTGCAATAGTCCCGATCAAAGGATTTCTTCCCTTCACAACATAACTTTGAAGTTTGTAAGTGTATTTACTGTTGTAAGTGTATTCACTCTTCCTGGACTTTTTTTTCTTTTGACAACTAGCCAGTACAGGGATTGAACTCCAGGCCTTGGTATCAGTACCACACTCTAACCAACTGAGCTAACCAGCCAGTCCTCTGTGGACTTTTACTGATCATCCTTGGATAATGCAGACCTCTGGTGTTAATGCCATTTCTCCTGTCCTCTGAGCTGATCACTGAGCATCCCAATGGATCCAGTCCAGGGATAGGATTTTCTGAGGCAGAGCTAGACTCCTAGCCCAGCCAGGGCCCTTCATTTTACAGATGGAAACCCTGGCCCAGCAAAAAGAGATTGGCACCTTAGGTGACCATTCAATGGCCACCACTACCCTCAGCCTACATCATTTCTTTGAATTCCAGAGGTAGATACTCTCCAGCCCGGAAGTCCTCAACTTTAACGTGAGAGTCACCCATCCCGGGAGCTGATTAGAAACGCAGATCCCCCGCACCCTACTCCAAATATTCTTACTCCATTGACCTGAGATGGGCCAGGGAAGTGTATTTTTAACAAGCTCCCCAGGTGCAGATTGCCCTAGTCTCTTTTTGGATGGCAGTGTACTTTCTTCCCTTCCCTTCCCTGAGTTTTCTTGGTGACTCCTCAAATAATGCGGGAGTACTGGATTCTCCGCCAGCAGCTCTCTCTTCTCGTCTTCTGCACCTTGGGCAGCAGCCTGAGCCTCTGCATGCTTCATTCTCTTCTTGTCTTTTCCCTGACCTACTTGCTTGGGACTTTGTCCCTGCTGGCATTCCCTTGGTCTGGCCACCTTCAGGCCCTGTATCTCACCACCGATGCTAAATAAAATTGAAGTACGACCTAAAAATAGTTCCTTCAATGGCCCCTGCATTGCAGCCTCCACTTCCGTTCCTGGCTGGAAGGTGGCCACAATGACTCAGCACAAAAGCTGGGACAAGATTGCAAAGAGGGCTCGTGAAGGCTGGGAGGAGGCTCTGCTTCCTAGGGGATGTCAGAGTCCGTCACTCTCTGGAGGAGATTTTCCCTTTTCAAAGGAGCAGGCTGAACAAAAGAATCCCTTGGCTTTAAACAAATGAGAAGCCCAGGACAATCCAGCCCCTTTGAGCTGTTTGTTTATGCCAAGGGTAGGCAGATCAGGGTGCAGGAGCCTGGATTGGGAGGACCTAGCGAGCTTTCTCCTCAGCCGGAATTGTCCATAGCCTTTCTTTAGGTTATACTCTGGGCCACATGCCAAACTGTAGCCCTTCTCTGTTGTCCTCTCAAACCTGGGACTCAGCCCACATTTCTTGCCTTTTTAAAGCTCCCCTTCCATATTCTTGATTTCTTGGTATCTTCTAGTCTCTCCCTTATTTTCTCCCCAGCTTGCCCTTTACTGTTTTCTCTATGAATAAATCCAAAAGACCCTTTTTATTTTGTATTTTATTTTATTTATTTATTTATTTATTTTAAGACTCTTTTTACTTTAAGGGTGTTCCTGCTGACCACTCTGGTGAAACGAAGTTAAGAAAAACTGTATCCATGGGAAGGAGCAGTGCTGCCAGAGCCCCAAAGGGAATTTGTCCCTGTTTGTGTAGCCCCAACTCTGTCCTTTCCATAATGTTCAGCAGCCTCTCTGAAGAGAACAGGTATTCAGCATCTATTTTGGGTCAGGCCCTGAGCTAATCACAATTTTACACTCGCTGTCCTATTTAATTACAATAGGCCACCAAGTATACACAAACTCTTCATTTTTACAGATGAGGAAACTGAGGCTCAGAGGGTTAAACAGCTTGTCCATGCTCACATTTCTTGAGCTGCCCACCCAGGGATCACCCAGGGCTGGAGCCCAGCACAGGTCTGTCTGCCTCTAGGGCTTTCCTTTTTACAGCAGCTTCAGGCTCAACGTGTGATTCAGGCTGGCACTCTTGTTGGGTCATTTATTCGTTCCAGTAACACTAACATGGTAGCACAGTGACCAGGAGTTATAGCTTGGTGTCAGACTGACCCATCTGGGTCCTCCTTCTACCCCTGAGTAGCTGCGTGACCCTGGGCAGATTGCTTTACACATCCTAAGCCTCAGGGGTGCTCATTTGTACCTGGGGGTAAGAATAGGATCTTCTTCACAAAGTGATTGTGGGGATTAAGTATCAACTCTCTCAGCATTATGCCCAGAAACTTCTTGGTGAAGAGGAGAGATTGTCTCTTTCCTCCAGGTTTCAGTCTGGAGAAGGAGCCTGTTGGATGAGGAAGGCCTTTCCTGTTTGATCCCCCGTTTCCCCATTGGAGGGCTCCTCAGCTTTGGAAGCCCAGCTCTCCCTGGCCTGGTCCCTCCCTTGCTAGCAGTCTGTTCACCAGCCAGTGGCTAAGCTGGGCTCTGTCCTCAGCTGTGGCCAGGCTCTCACCCCTCACTCACTGGGCTAACCACACCCATTAGCCCCACATCTATCTGGTCCCTGCTCTCTGTGGGTCTGCATCCTTGTCCCCACCACAGTATTACCTTCACTTCCTGGGCTTTTGCAACATGATGCTCTAACTTGGCTTTCTTGCCACCTCTGCAGATGACCTAAGGTAGGAAAGGAAGGTCCTGTCTTGCTCCTCCTTGAAATCCACATGCTCCCCATTGGGACCTGGTGGAGAGGGACTCTCAGGGTACATTTGTGGAATGAGTGAATGGATGGGGATCCCCAAAATATCCCAAAGATGGACCCACTCTAACAAGTCAAAATGTGAAGTCCTATGTGAAGGACCTAAAAACCAACTACTTACCCATGTGCTGGGATGTAACAACAGCTTGAGTGAAAAGTAAGTAAAGCATGATGGGGTAGATTTTTCAAGCAACTACTATGTCAACTGACACAGATGTTTCTTTCTTCATATGATGAAGATCAGGGATCCAAACTCAGCTGAAAAGCTAAAGAAGCACCATTTGTCCCCATTGGAATGGCGGGTTTTGCAGCTATTGTTGCATATGGATTAAACAAATTGAAGAACAGAGGAGATACTAAAATGTCCATTCATCTGATCCACATGCATGGCAGCCCAAGGCTTTGTTGTGGGACCAATGACTCTTGGTATGGTCTGTTTCATGTAATGGGAATTCTGGGCAAAACCTAAACCTTAGAAGAAAAAAATGCAGTCTTGGTCTTGTCGGAGGAGCTTGCTTTAGTCAGACATCTCATTATTTACATTACATGTTTATGTTGAAAATAAATCATTTGAGTGGGTTCAGACAATAACATGGTATTTTGAATATTGGCTTTCTTTCTTGCAGGCCTGATTTGCCTAATGACCAAGTTACTAGTGACTATTTCACTAACTAGGTCATTAAGGAAAGTCAAGTTAACACAAAAGAAACATATCACTTAAATGCACTTGATAATGTTAAATATCTACTTAAACCTTTACAAGAAATTACAGTAGTTCTAAAGACAACAGCAGGCCAACCCTGAAGTACTCCCTGTTTGCTGCAGAATATTACATGCTTTGGATGTTATAATGTAGGAATCCTGTTTACTCCAGTTAATTTAACTTTTTTCTGCCTGCCTTGTGGACTGGTTGAGTACTTCAGTTTTTAGGACCGGTTGGCTAAACAACTCTTTCAAAAAATGGCATGGAATGTAACTTGTAAAGCCTCCCACGACTGAAAGTGTCTCTGTGTGTGTGCGTGTGTGTATGCATGTATATGTTTAAACTAAATCTAGAAAGCTTACAACAGAGCTGCAGAGAAGTAGTATTTATTTCAGAATCACGCTTGTAAACATGAGAATAACTTAATTATGGTTCCAGTTTAGCTCTTTTGTAATTGCAGAATTACATATGTGTGTATGCATGTATATGTTTAAAC